TGAATAACCAGAACACCGATTATTCATTAGAAAGTGGTTATTACAAAATATGCGTGTCACGGAAGCAACAGAAATTACTTAAAGCCTGATTAATATCGAAACATCGTTAAAATTATGCAATTACACAACACATTGTGCAACTTTCGTGAGGTATATATAAGCTTGAATAATAAAAGTCCATGTATTATGTGGTCGGAAGCAATTACACACATTCAAAGGAATCTACGATTACCTAAAATTTCTACTACAAAACGAATACACCACACGCACGAAGACTTTTTCAGGTATTTAACAGAAAAACTTTGTTAATAAAATTCACAGTCTATTTATCATATAAATAAACAGACAACAAAGAGTGTCTCAAATATAAAATTAAATCCTAATCGAAATACCTACTGCCGTTAATACTAAATGAATATTCGACTATATTCCTCCAATACAATTTTCTACTGCACGAAAGTTTGTTGTCAACTACGCATATAACCTTCGTTTCTCCGATTCTGAATGCGTGAAAAAAGTGCGTTATGCAAACTCACCATATTACGATCCTCGAAGAATACATCACCGTTCACTCGTGCACGTAGCCACAACAGAAATATACTGTTCACTCGCGGCAAACAGGAAAACGCAAGAAATTACGGCACAAGGAAGAGCCTCCGATCTTTTTCTCGCCGAACACCGTCTTACGCCGTATTCGTCGAACGTGCAAAAACTAAAACTAATCGTTAAACCGGGAGGGAGTGTTACGTGACGCCGTGTTTTCAAGATCGTTCGAACGAATGACCGATATTAAGTGACCGCAGTTTGACACGCAAATACGCCGGAGGCCACTGGCCCCACCTATATTTATATTTTCGTTTGAGACCCAATCTGTTCCCTTTGTCTGAAACAATCGTTGCGATTGGTTCGTTCCATGCACGGCGAAGACAAACGAAAACGAAAGTATGAAAATGTGTTTCTGTTACGGTACTAGACTGTTTCCTGGTTAATAATTTATAAAAGAAAGCGTTACATATATCGCGAATTTGTTGAAAGGTATGCATGTACTACAATTTCTTGACAGAATATTTACAATAAGAACAACAGTAATTCCCTGGATGACTTTTATGATACTATTTAAGAGATATAGTACCTAAACTCAGAAATGATCGAGAGGAAAAGTTTAACATAACGAACAAATTAGAGGAAACTATTACCCATTTCGACCCACACGAATATCTCCGAAACTGTTAACGATATTAAAAAATATTTCAGACAAAAGTTAAATGGTACCGGGGAGCACACTTTCTGATATAAATTTTTTCTATGTGGACGCGTAATATTATTGCTGTAGAAAAAAAAGTAGATAGTCAAATTTTCGACAGATCCAAAGTGATACATTCCTTGAAAACAGATACTGGATAAAACCACATTGCGTGTTCGATGTCAGTTTCACCTCCAAGATTGCACATTTCAGCACTCTCGATTATAATTGCAGTATCTCTGACCTTACTTAGGATAATAATACTATGTTTATTATTAAAAGAATAACGATTTTTAACTTTCTACGCCTTACCAATTTTTCTACCTCACTGAGAGCACACATGAGAAATAATTACATTACTCGTTAACTCTATTTACGATAAGAAAACAATACCTATTGATTGTACTTATTTAAATCAAATGGTTATAACAAACCGAAATCATTGTAAATGTACTAGTAAATTCCCCTGTAACCTTATCGGGCAAAGATAACGCGAACTGGCCCGACAAACGTTGATCTAAACCACGTAAAAGCGAGACTTTAAGAAAATAGTAGATAAAAAGGGTAAACGATGCAAAAGCCTCCAAACGATAACGTTACGAAACATGATGGTGTTGCGTGTGGTAATTGCTACCGTGTCGGCGGTTCATAAACGTTCTAACCTAGTGTGTTCCATAGGTGTCCGTGGTCATTCGACGTTGACCGTGGATATGAAACGCACGTCGAAATAAAGAAATTCTGCAACGAGGCTACTAACAAGCCGTTCCATTTTCTAATATGTAGGCCCACCGATCGATAATGGCGCGTTTGCGTTATAAATACACACGTGTCTCGACGAAAAACTGTAAAAAACAAGTATCGAATTACATTAAACCACATTAGAGGACTGAATTCTCTTTTTTTCCTTTTCTAACACAAGTTGCTTCCCCTATCTCCACCATGGAATTTCCTGTTCAATTCCGTACCATCGCGAAGGGATCACCTGATTCGAAAACAGCAATAATTTGTGTATTAACCGTCGTTTCATTTTATGCAATTAATTTGCTTAGACTGATAATAATCAGTCTGATCCACGAGATATATACATATTTTTTTCAAGTATGAAGTGCCTAAAACGTGATCGGAGAGATTATGGTCGGCGACAAGAAACATTCCAAGCATTCGAAATTGCGTATTAAGTGTTAACTGAATGCTCGCCAAGACCAGACCCGGAAGAAGAGACTTGTAAACAATGATACACTTTGAAAGAAGACAGCTAAAAATAATCCGCGTCGAATCGTGGAGAGGGACAACTTGACGATAGACAGTCAGTCATTTTACTATCGTTCGTTATTCGGCGAAGTGGTGACCAAGTGGATATTGAACAGGTTGGATGATAATGGTTACTGTCCAATGTTCAACCTAGCGCCGAGAGGAAAATAGGACTGCGCTTAACGCAAACAGAAGAAAACCATTAAAACTGCCATAAAGCATATACCCCCGTTAAGAAATACGTGAAACTGATTTATTTGCATGACAACGTGAAACCTCGTAAATCAAGCACGTTGATCAAATAGCTTGGATCATTAGAATAAGAAATTTTATTGTGTCATTCAAATTCCTCTGACCCATCCTGAACTGTGATTTCCGTTCTTACGAGAAGTTTGAATGGCTCTAAAAATTGTGATAAATCTGAAACAAGGACTATGGCTATCTGTTACGCGGTGTGCTTTTTACCGAGTCAAATTTCAGTGTCTTCTGGCATGCGACCTTTACGAGTCCAACCCTCCAAAGATAGAAGCGAACTCGCCTCGAGGAGTCAGGGTTGCGCTGTGTATTCGAGCTTCACAGCGAGCGGAAACCTCCCCGGAAAAAATCACGTTGGACAAGGTTATGAAATTGCATAAAAAACGTGCGTATTTTAGTCTAGAATATACACTATTTAGGTACACTACCGTCCATTAGTAATCATGGCACATGTACCTTCTCGAAAGACTGTGTAATATATTACAAATAAATCGTATCTATAATTTTTTCTTTTATCTCACACAGCTATGTATAATTAATATTGAATGATGAAACTAACATTGAACATTACGCGGAACAAATAAAAGAGCAACAACCAAAATTGAATAAAAATCGATCTTCCGGACATACTGAACTTTATGCCATAGAATTTCTGTTATTTGTATTTAGACCCGTTCACACCACTATGGCTGGATAAATGGAATCTGATCAGGAAGATCAGATTCCACAGAGTATCTAAATACTTATGGACGATAGTGTGTATATCCCCACGGTGTCGTGTATACAAGCGTGTATGTGTTGGAAGGGGTCATCAACGAACGACGGAGAGGACACCTTCAACGAGCGATAAAGAGAGCTAGAAAGAGATATGTATATACATATACAGTAAGGAAGGGAGAGAGAGAGAAAGAAGGAGAGACATTCTGTGAGAATCAGCTTGACGGTACGTAAGGTCGCGTGTAGGGTACTTGCTCTAGGTAGACAGGTATGTTGCAACGAAGAAGTGAAGTCATGGAGGGTGTATGGATCGATGGTTGGCTGGGAAACAGCTCGGTCCCAGACAGAACGGACAATTTTGTTCGCAATAACCACGCGCCCTGTCACCGGATGAAACGATCGCGGTTTTGAACTTTCGTTCGTCCGTGCGACAAATCTATCCCATGCCCTTGTTTATCGTGACGGGAACCGTGCGTATTTCTTTTTTTTTGTTCGCTCTTCTCTCTTTTCGTTATCGAACATAAAAACCGACACAAGGTAACCGCGTGCGGCAGGACGGTCGAGACTAACACGAATAGGTGTTCTCTCGAACGCGACTCGCTTTACTCAAGAGGAACAATTACACGGGGACTCGCGGCACACAGAGATATCGACTCTACACACCTGATAACACACGCCGAGAGAGAACGAAACTACGATTCTTGAGAGAGCTTTCGCTATACCGATAGTACGTGCATACATACATACATACATACATACATACATACATATGTTCAGCGACGTTGTCACAGTCGCGAAACATTTCTATGCAATGAATTAATGAGTTCACCGCGAATCATGCTATTTGGCGTTTCCGATGACTTAACAATGTACGGACGCCGCCAACTGGCGTTGTGGGCTGTTTCACGTTTCATTTGTTATACGTCTACTACGCACAATAATTACAGTATTTACAGTACACCGACTACGATCGCCACAACTGTTTATAGGAATCGCAGCGAGTGTGTTAATGAACTACTCGAAATGCGCAATTTCGAAACGCACTGGACAGGTTCGTAGGCATGCACGAGAAACCATGTTCGTACTCTTGATGGAAAGAGATATACATAGTGTGACCGTAAACTATTGACAAATGAGACTGGTGCACTGATGCCATGAGACGAAAAACTCTGTACGTGCAATTCCATTCTAGTACTTTAAGGAAACGACACCGATTACTGACATTCGTCTGTAGGATAACTATCAATTTCAATGTTGAATGATCACTTTCAATGTTGGAAGTTTCCTTGTGCGTTCAAATAACCGTAGCTAACGTGGAATTAAGACAGAGATGGAACTGACTTAAAACAGAATTTAGATAGTTCTAACGATCCTGAGTAAGGCACAAGTACCTGTACATCCCGAATTTCTGTCAATTCTTTCGCAACAGCTCCCGAAACGCAAATACTTTACTTCCTGCTAGACGTAACGATCACGCTACAACATCTCTTCCATCGAGCACCGAGCAAAGAATTACATTGTCATATGTACTCACCACCAATGCTGAGAGTTCTCCATCGGGTTTTTCGCTTAGAACCCTTCTTGCCCATCTCTCGCGAAGACCGAGCTGGTCCTCCTCCCTTGTGTCTCTCGCCTTCCCAGCGATCTCGGCCAACTTTCTAGGACGAAAGTACCACCGAAATCATGATGACCGCGCGTACAGATCTCGCCACTACCTTCGCGGTAGCATTTTATCGACTGTTCGCCGACAAATGGATCCCCGGCTATGCTCGTCCTCCCGTGAGAAAAAGCTTCGGAACGAAACTACCGACGAACGAGGCCTGCCCTGAGCAGAAGACAACTCTAATACGTAATCCGCGTCGCACGAATAGCGACCACACACTGCTGTCCCCACACCTCACCCCTCCATTCTGGTCCCCACCCAGCGCCTGCTGCTCCCTACCTCGAGGTCTCTGTCATGCTCGCAGCGTTTCCATGCACCACGAGCTTCCTTTAGTGGATTTTAGAAATGCTGAACGAATTTCGATGAAAAGCGTCTGTTCACGTGGGTTCTCAATACCGAATCGCGTGATCCTAACGCGGAGACATCGACTGTCATGAAAATTCGCAATGGGAAAATCGATTCGAAATTTTTCTATGAAATTCAAACGTTTCGAATGGCGGCCCAATCGCCACATGCGCAGAACCTCGGCGATCACCGCGCCACGATTGGCTGTTACCATGGAGACCGATGTAAATCATCGTTCGCCATTTTATCCGGCTTCGATTGAAGCAAGATACATTGGTGGTTTTTTTACTTGTATATGAAATTTTGAAGCGCTTTTTCGAAGCGGTTTCCGTTTTTCACGATTTAGTATAGCTCGTTAAAACACATCGTTGACTCGTGTACTCGATATCTATCCGACTCAATAAATAGACGGTTGTTAGGTTATTTTTATTGATAGGTTAAATTATTAAAGCGCATACCAAACGATTCAGTATGTTGAAAATACTTTCGCTACACGACTTCGATTGTCCCTCGTTCGATGAACCCGCTACTGTCGGATTAATAGGAAAAGCTGTGCATTACTGCGAGTATGAAAACTTACATGATGAATTGCAACCGTTTTCGAAGTTCGTGCGAGACTATCCAGAAGTTTCGATTGCCCCGGATATTCTTGCTACCCGCGAAACAGCACGTACTATTTGCGCCGGTGATTTATTTCTACCAGTTCATGACAGTATCTTTAAACGAATCGCCAGTGTATGGAGAGAAAAGGGACTGGCAGAAGCTATTTGCCTTGCTGCATCCACGGATCCCCAAGAAGTCACAAAAGTTGTACATTGGATCGCTACAAGGTTTTAATAGAGTAATTCCTATTAAACAATGTTTCATTCTTCTTAGACATTAATATTACATATGTTTTTCAGACTAAAATGGGTATTAGACTTAATGGATAAAGGAATATATCAAAAAGAAATTTTACCTTCTACTGGGTCAGGGTCAGTTGCAGATGTTGTTAATACGAGGGACTGGGATGTGGCACTTGTAAGAAATCATTCCAACTAAATCCTTAGATTTTATGTTCTCCATGATTTACTTCTAATGTTAATTTTTAGATTAGATGTCTTTCTTGGCATCCACATTGTCCACGGCTAGCAGTGGTCACAAGAGATGATCGTATACGTATCTTCTCTCAAGGTGTACCGGTTGTACCAGTCTTAAGACACAGTGCTCAAAAATCAGTTTGTTGCATAAGCTGGAGACCATTTGCTGGCAAGGAATTGGCAGTGGCATGTCAAACAGGTGTTTTAGTCTGGACAATAGAATTAAGTGCAGCCAGTAATTCACTTAGTCATGCAGTGTTACTGAAGCAAAGAAATCATGTACCTGTTACAAGTGTTACATGGCATCCGCAGGGTGATTTGCTGGTGTCGTGTTCACCGGCAGACACTAACATGATTATTTGGGATACTTCTAAAAGGGAAGGTGTTCCTCTGAAGCGAGTCGGAGGTGCTGGCTTATCTTTCACACATTGGTCACCTTGTGGTTCCCAATTGTTTGCTGCTACATGCAGAAATATATTCAGGTATATTGTTTTATCATTCATTTCATAATACAATGCCTGCCTTACCTAACTGCTAATTACTGCGCAAAGAGTTTGGAATACTGGAGCAGCAACAATGTGGCCTACAGAAAAATGGACTGTGCCAAATGGCCGTGTGGCAGTTGCATGTTTCGGGCCTAACTTGACTTTACTATTTGCATCGACTGAAGAGTCCGCAACAATCTTTGCTCTACCATTGCAAGAAAACATCTTTGATGTCCAAAAGACATCCACACTCGATACCAAAATAGCCGTTCCTCTAATAGACTTGACAAAAGTCAATTTCTCGTCCGATGATGATTACGTTGCGGTCGGTGGGCGAGTAGTTGCAATGGAATGGGATCCTACAGGGAGATACCTTGCCATACTCTTCCAGGTACAATACTCGATCATTGATGAAACCAGAAATGATCTATTAAAACTTCTGCTAATAAATTTTGTATATGTTTAGGACAGCCCATTGGTTGCATTAGTGAAAACCAAAGTGGGAAACATGTCACGAGTCATCGACATCAAACCCGGTTGTCTCATTAAAGGATTTCCTGGCGAAGTTCCGAATTGTATGAATTTCTACCAGAGATACGACAGCCAGTCCCCCGCAATTTGTTTAACAATCGCGTGGAGCAGTGGCCGCGTACAACACTTCCCTATAGTCGAGAGAGAATCTGGGCCGAACATGAACGTAACTAGCTCATTATTGCCGCATTCGTTCTCAATGAGACACGACGCGTACAACTTCGATCTAAGTGCTACTTACACCTAACGTTTATAATCTGTTAATCTTGTCACGAGTTAAGGATCTACGAAAGTTTCAACTCCGCGTTTTTATACACCGTCTAACATTTGTACATATCAATGCATACGTAAGGATCCACATATTTTTGTTAAGTCGAGCGTGAAAAACGAATAAACCGTACTGTGATCCGACAAAAATTATATAATATTTCATAACCGTTCCGTCGGCGTTCTTACAAGGAAAAAAAAACCGAGAATCGTTCGGTCCTGAGTTAGGCTCACTCTAACGCTCTAGCCTCTTAACGTATGGGATATACAACGCGACGGCTCGGGTTCGGTACCTAATTATACGAAGTCACATGCAGAGCGCGCGTCTTTCTATTTTTACGTCGCTTGACCGAATGCTGAACGCCGACACGTACGTGCGTGATGCGTCCCGCACTATTTCCAATAGCGTTCTGTCTACTATCCTCGCAACCGTTGCAACTCCAAACACAAATTAACCGCTCCATCGTTCTAGAAACCTCCACGTCCTAAATATACATTCCTCGAGCATAGTCGATCATTTTCTGGCCGACACTTTATTTACGATCGCAGACAAAACATATTCCACAAGCGTGAAATATAGAGGAAAATTCTATAATTGCAACTAACGCCCTGGATTTATAACGGCGGTATGCAGAACCTAACCACATACGCTCTAACGACGGTGACCGTTTCTTTTCTGTTTTTCTTCTAAAGGCTATTTGGATACCATACGCATCGATTAAATGTTCGTTAAGATACCTATCCTCCCCGCCCTTTTCTTCTCAATTCTCTCTTTCTGTTATTGCATCCGTATGGGGTGTACGATCGAAATCCTTTTTCCAGTATATTTATTTTAATGGCAGTCGTACACATGCGGTTGCGATGGTACGAACGGAGTTGACAGGTGCCCGGGCAAAAAAGCGTGGCCGAGGACCGAGCATAGTATGTATAATGTAAGCATAGAGGGCTGGCAGGCCACATGTGCCCCTCTATCACTTATCTACCCGTAATATGACGTATAACCCGGCCATAAGATGCAACTGTACGTGGTAATGTGTGCGTCTGTGCGCCCAGAAGTCAAGATGCACACGCGTGTGTGTATATAGGGGATGAGTAGGAGGATGCATGATGAACGTCCATGTGTGTGTGTATGCGTTTGCTTGAAAGAAACTGGAAGCAACAGCTTGTAAGATAACGCTGACGCGAGTGTCGTTCTGGAATCATAACAATGCATTTTCGATTAGGTGGTTCATGAATGGAATCACAATTCGTTTTATAGTCACCAGTCTTCCTGCGTATGCTCGTAACGAAAGGTCGATTTAATTTATATTGGAAATGATTGTAATGGAACACGAGCTAGGGTGGCGACAAGAACAATTAACAAAGTTTTTTTTTCTTAAGTAAATTAATACAAGACCCTAATTCTTACTTGTTATGTATTGAATTCCTAGTAAACAGCAATTAGTAGTCTCGTTTGTGAACATAGAAAGAATATCCGGTACAATAACAAGTGTCGAATATCTAACTGCCTCTTGGTCCCCCTATTCTCGCTAAAATATGTTTCGATAAAAATGCGACAAACCGATCTATGGACTAATACTGTAAGAATTTCTATTGACTATTAACTTCTAAGTCTTCTGTATTATTTACTTTTAATAAAATCCTGTTTAATACTACCACGACGATATTGTAAATCATTTGGAACAAGTGTGCAACAGCAAATATACCAGAAATGTCATTCCCATCTTGTCGATCTTGCTCGAGGAAACACGAGATTTGTGTGTATCTCGACTAGAAATGATTAATTTAGACATCAAGTACCCCGAAGTAGCCTCTTACGAGTCACCACACGTATATAAGATCCAGAAATCTGTTGGAAAAAAAAAAAGAAATGAACAGTAGTACGTTCTGTCTGGAAGACATTAACGTTTCAACTTATACCCTTCTACTGCGCCACGTGACTCCGTCGACTAGACCTGAACACGAATCCCCGACAAGTCCGCTCAGCCGAATGTGTTTTCGTGGCGCAAAAGTCAAGGACCGCTAGTTTTCCAGGGTATGCATGCATGCATACGATTGAAAACACGGGGATTGGTGAACGCGCACGCAACGATGTCGAGGTTTGTGTTGGGGGGGGGGGGGGGGGGGAGGTGAAATAATAGTAGGCTGTAATAGGAGGAAGGAGTGAACGACTTTGCCCCTCATGTGTGCGCGCGAAGAAGCTGTTGTTAATAAGTGACGCGTGTGCGGCAGCTGGTTTTACGTTTTTTGTCCCGCACCCGATTCTCTCGGGGTTCGACCGACGAAAGATCGGCCTAAGGCACCCCCTCCACCCGCGTCTCTTTCTCCCCCGTTCGCTTCACCCGCTGACTACGCCACGGAATATTCCTACCGAGGTCTCAAAGGGATGCCGGTGTCCACGAATTATATTCGCTTCTGAGATTAGCAAACCGGTGGACGACGTCCAGTGGTCGATAATGTCTTTTCTCACCAGAACTAGGGACCCTTTAATCAGAGCCACAAAATCACGTCTAACAAGTTAGGTCGGTGAACGGGCATTTTTAGGCAAGGGTGTGTAGCCCCAGGCCCCACTTTGGATGGAGGAGTGGCTCAATCCAACCATTCCATTTATGTGAAAATATAATTGAATGAAATTTTGGTTATTGTTTCCCTTGTGAAATAATTAGAAATTGCATTGAATATAGAAACGAATTGGAACATTCAATTCCAGAAGTTCCACGCGTCGATTCATTAATATTACCATCATTTAAAATTGAACTTTAATAGTTACAAAATCTCTTAACTGTTCATTCATCGGTGCGTTTAACGTAGCACCCCTTCATCGGTACAGAAAGATAAATTCGCGAAACGGGGTTAAAAGATGGCGACTTTCCAAGATGGCAGCCACCTGTGACAGACACAGTTCCGAATATCGAATCAGCGGTCAAACACGGGATTATCGAACATACAAATCGTTCCAGGAATCTATGCGCCAATCGGTGCCGGGGATAAGAAAAACAGAGGAACGGACGGTCACGAATATAATATCGTGAAAAAGGAGAGCGCAGGAAAAAGGGAGAGACGGACAGACGTGCGAGCAGATGTGCAACCCCGCCACCCTGGTGCGGTCCAGAAGAGACTAGAGAGAGGCACGTCGCGCTGTGTCGGTGAGGCAAGTGCACCGATCCAACAAATGCTGCTCTTCGTAGAGCGTATCTTTTTTTCTCGAGGAAGGGGGGAGATGAACGTGATGCTGCTGCGGGCCACGCGAGTGGGCGGCGCGTACCCTTCTTGCCGTTGCTTCTTCCCTTGCTCTCCCCCCAGCAATAGGGTGGAGGGGATCCTTTCTCTCTCTTTGGGTTCGTTGTCGCGTTGTCTGCTGGAAAAACGCGGCGGCGATGTCTTGAACCCGGCTGATAGTCTTCGTGGAGACGCGGGAACGGGTGTACAGGATCGGGACCGGGATCGGCCTCTCTCTCATCACTCGAGGGTCAGTTACATTCGACGCCGTTCGCGCTTGGTAATCCACCACCACCAACCCTGTGACTTGAACTCTTCGTGCCAGTTGTGTGATTAAAATCTGCGCGTGCGCGCGTGCCACGCGGTTCTGGACCTTGTGATAACGGTGTTCGAAGGCCCGATTACGGTGTCCTTGAGTTTCGGGTGACGCGAACGTTTCCTCGAGAACTTGGACTGAACATGCTGGGAAGAATGAAACACCGAATAGTTTGACGTGGTTGCTCCAGCTCCCAGTTGTTCGAGCAGTACAGAATAGCCGCAGGTACGTTTTCGCAGGTTCCTCTAGTTTCTTCGGCATATATGCAGCCGGCGGTTTTAAGGCGAGACCCTTAGCTGAATACCGAAAAGTTCTGCTATTTAAAAGTATGACAGGTTAAAATTCACGGTTTTAAACCGTTGATCAACTTCAGGTAGTTATTAAAGTGCTATAGAGAAAGGGGCGATGAATGCTAAAGACTTTTAAATCACGTAGTACTACGTTGCCGGTTACGAACGTGTCAAGCCTCTCCTATCGAAATCCGTCGAAGGAATTTGATCCTCGTGCATAACGTTTCCCGTTGGCGGATCTGTCCATAGATGATGTTCCCGATGCTCTAGCTAAAAACTATCGACTTTCTCACACAAAATTTCCTTCAGAAGGTCTAAATGCGAACCGTCGATTTTCCAGACCCCATCGTGCGTACCCTCTAAAAATGCATCTCGAGGATTACCACGCGGACAGGAACGAGGAGGACGTCCAACGGGCGGTCTCGAGGAGTATCAAGCAAGAGAACTTCAACCCCGTACACCTTGCATCCATCCCGACGATGACGATCAACCCCCAGCATGCCTGTTGGGCAACGTCTCAAGCGGACACCGGTGTGTCCTCGCCGATTCTACCGAATAATTCGAGTCCTCACGAGTACACAGACTGGGAACAACTCACCGCCGCGTTCCAATACCCGTATCAACAGAATCTCTTGACGGACAGATCGCCATCGGGTAGCACAGGCAGCGAGGCGACCACACCGACCTGGAACAACGTTGTCCACAGCGACTCGACGGACTGTTCAAACGGACAAAGACTGCCCTCGGTGGGCTCGGCTTTCTCCTTCTCCCGGAGCTTCTGCAACACCGTTTACCCGGATTATCAGGGTTATCCGGAATACCAGGAATATCAAGACGACGTCACAGTATCCTTACCGTTGATTCTGCACTCGCACACGGACGGCTTCACCGGGCCGATGCAGACGGCCACCGACGAGTTCGATCTCAGCTTGATCAGAGGCGATCCCACGTCGTTGATGAACAACGTTCTGTCACCATCCTCGCCGTCGTCCACTTACCTCGACGAACTACCGGACCCGTTCTCCAATCTGAACGGTTCGTGCTACGCGGTTGGCCACTTGGTCTCCGGGCAACAGACCACCACCCCGACGATGACGTTCGCCAATGACACCGGCCCAGCTGACGGTTTCGGCAACCAGGTCGTTCTTCCGAGGAACGAAGGTCTGCTGCTAGCCGACCGACGGGTGCCCGTGTCCAAGGCTGAAACTGAGAAACGGGGCAAGTCTTATGGTCAGTCTCGAGGTCTTTACGGGAGATTGAAATGTCTGTTGAATACAGTATGGGGAGGATACGTATGTCTCACCAAGATATTATATTAAATCCTCGATGAGTGTTCGAAGGCACTGACGAAAAGAGGTCCCCATGTCTAACGCTGACTTTTTAACGAGGTTCAGCATAGTGATAGATTTGGGAATTTTGAAGCCGATTATATTTATTTCAGCCACATATTAGTTTATGAAATATTTAATGTTCAGAGCGTTCGAACACTCGTCGAGGATTTACTGTAGTAGAGCAACTATGTTTTCTGTCTGCAATGTGGTGGAAGAGCAAATTTGTGTAGGAATATCGTAAGAGTCCACTGTAATAATAGTAAAACGCTTCTTTCCCTCGAACATGCCTATTAATATCGAACAATCGCTACAGTTTCGGTTGCTTCAGACAGTTTGCCCCGTGTCCACGGATCTCGAACCACGGACGACACGTCCCTCTTTCAACAAGACTGCTCAACCGCCGAGGACAATCTGACGTCCACGTATCAGTGTCGGTGGATAGACTGTGGCTGCGCGTTCGCTGAACAAGAAGGTCTAGTACGACACATAGAGAGACGACACGTCGAGTCCTCGTCGTCCAACCCGCATGGACACAGCAGACGGGTACAGAGAGACAGGGACAAGGACAAGGACAAGGAAAAAGACGCGGATGGTTACACCGGAACCGGCCAGGACGAGTTCGCTTGCCTTTGGCAGGGCTGTCCGCGCGCGCGACCATTTAATGCCAGATACAAACTACTGATACACATGAGGGTTCACAGCGGGGAGAAACCGAATAAGTGTCCGGTGAGTACCTAGTTTATGTCGAATTTTGGGACATTACAATTTATCGGGGAACATTTCATTGATGGTGACTTGGTGGACACTGTGCATGATCGTTTACAACTCGATATATCGTCGCTCTAGTTCTTAACCCTTGGAATACGGTGGTCCGTTTCGACCTTAATGCTTAAAAGCCATATGGTCATTCCATACTCGATATATCGTCGCTCTAGTTCTTAACCCTTGGAATACGGTGGTCCGTTTCGACCTTAATGTTTAAAAGCCAAGTTTGGTCATTCCATTTTTTTTATCAATTTTTCATATACAAGATATTTTAACAAATCATTCGAGTAACGAAATGATTTCGAGAGTTATTAATTTTTACAGTTTAGCGGATGCAAGAAGGCCTTCTCGCGGCTGGAGAACCTGAAGATCCATCAAAGATCTCATACAGGTGAGAGACCGTACGCGTGTCAGCATCGCGGCTGTTCGAAGGCGTTCAGCAACAGCAGCGATCGCGCGAAACACCAAAGAACACATTACGATACGGTACGTTACTCTTTTAGTTTTTCTTTACACGTCTGCAGATTACTTAACTGATACCGAGACTGGTCTTAACTAAACAAATAATAGTTCTTTTAAAAATCGCTAATCGGATGTATTCGCAGTCATCGTTCTCGGTTATCATCGGACAGTGAATGTTTTAAATTCAGATACGATTGTTTTACGAAGAATTTTTATCTTAGAATAAAATTATGTGACTATAGTCTATAAATGCATGAAACCCGCAGTCTACTAATCATTAACATTCCTGATCAAAATAAATTCCGATCGCCAAGGCAGTCTCATACAAAAAAACTCCCCTTCGTTTAACGTTTCTTTCAAATTCACAAAATCTGGACAATATTTTAGAAAGATATTTCGAAATAATTCCAGAAACCGTACGCCTGTCAAGTGACCGGATGCGGAAAACGGTACACCGATCCGTCGAGCCTGAGGAAGCACGTGAAGAACCACTCGGAGCCGAGCACGCCGCTGTCCACCCTAACCACGACGTCCGAGACCAAAAGTTCCGCGAGCATTACCGTCAACGCGATCAATGTGTCGCGACACGATCTGATTTCTACGACTTCGAGGCAGCAGCAGCAGCAGCAGGTGCAAACCGCTGTCGTTTTCCCCGCGGAATCGAATTATCGGTCATATAAGACTTCAGAGTCTTACGCGGACGAGGACGCCGACTTGTTCCAGACGAATCTGTGTCAGGTCGAGAGGATTTCCATGAGCCTTGACAGCAATCAAGAGTACGTCCCCATTGAGTCCGTGAAGCGTTTCCTTATCGACGATGTCAGCAACTCACACGTGGCCGGAACAGGTAAGAGGAAAGATTTCTACCGTAAACTATTTATCGAATCGGTAACACCAACCCCGTTCACACTGTTAACCCACGGAGCACGGACGTTTTTAACGTGCGTAGAGACAGTGGTGTCTAACAACTTGTAAGTCCGTTTGAAACCAGGGTCGAAACTTCGAGGGGTGCTTTCACCCCTTAAAGTCGCGTCTCAGCCGATTAAAAAAAAATACGTAAAATTTTACTTCTTCTTATGACGCACAAGATTCCGCAAGGATTCCCATTGTAATGGTCTGAATACAGTGAATCCTCGATGAGTATTCGACGGCTCTTCGGTACTGACAAATAGAGGTCTTCAGGTGTAACGTTGACTTTTTAATTAGGTGTAGCACAGCTATAGATCTTGGAATTCCGAAGCCAATGGTATTTGTTTCAGCCGCATATGGCCATTAGTTTATGAAATATTTAATGTTCAGTGCCGATCAGCCTTCGTACATTAATCGTGGATTTAGTGTATCCCGTCGTTGCTCACCCTTGAACGGTGGATGGAGTTGCACAGCATGCGTGACACACGTTTTACAAAAAGTCGGGCAAAGTTGTTGTTCTTGGTTCGAACGCGGTTATTGTATCGCGCAGCCGCGCGTGCTGCCTTTTTCTGTCCCATGGTGGACCGGCCCGCGTGGTAACGATGCCGATGACAGTGCGCCTAGGCCTCTCCTCGGTTCCTCTGGCCGTGCTTAATCTCAGAGGAGGTTCGCCGCGGCTTTATGCCTTTACCCCACACCGAGTCTTAAAATAATATTCCTGACTTTTTTCGCCGGGAGCACACGCACGTACGCACGCACAGCACGCACGCACGCGCCAAAACATACGACGCGTTTGCCACGTGCGACACACACGCGTGCCCCTTTAAATTCCAGTCCTCCAGCGGCCGCGATTTTTACCGGAATAAAAATACAATTAACCGCTTCGCAACCATGGACGAGATACATATTTCGCGGCATACTATTGGTCGTACTAATGGCCACGGACGAGTTACACCGCGATAAAATACCGTCCGTACGACACCACGGACGAGATATCCCGCGACCTTGTTTTGTTATGTTTACATCTGAATGTCGGTTACCTCGCCTCTACGTTGGGATCCTAGCGTCAGTCTTCACAACTTGGTAAATTTAATTCAAGTACTGAAATAAATGTTAAAATGAATGTCAATATGGCATAAATGTCAGTAATTCCAAATACCAAGTGCTAGGAGCATAGTAGGAGGTCCTTCCCCTATGTCACTTTTTCCCCAGCGGAAGCAGAGTTTGTTCGCTAGGGTACGAACAATGTTGTGTCACGAAATATCTCGTCCGTGGTAGCGAAGTGTTTAAATGATTCGATGCCTGTCAATATACACGTTTCCGTTACAGGCTACTGCGAAGAGGACGTGGCCGATTTCCAGGAACTTGGCTCGGACATCGAACAACAGTTTCTCGAGCTAAGCAGCTTGGACGACGCGGTGTTCATCGACGGTTAAGATGCACTCGACGCGGATCGAGAACAACTCCGTTCAGATGTTCCCTGCCACATTTCCAAAGACTTGTCCCCCCTTCCATTTTGTACTCGATTTTATATACATATTGTTGCGCTCGACAGAATCGTATTATATTTTTGTACATAGGCACTTGTATATATTACAACAGAGGAAATACAATGATTTTGATTACCATATTCTGCTTCTTTCGTTTTTTTTTTGTCGTTCCCTTCTCGCGTGCACATGTGTGCACGTTGTCGCTGCTGCTGCTGCGAGGGGCTTGGAAGGGTATGGAGATTAATAGCTGGATTCTTTTTTTGTCTCTTGGCTGTTGATTCGTTTTTCATCGCTTGGTGTGTTTTGTTTTATAGAACTGTAGAACTGAAGGATTCAAGAGAACTGTCTTATGAGTTAGATTACGGGAAGTCATTTCAATATTATTGCACAGGATTTGGATCTCCAAGTGCTACGGGATACACAGTTGCAGGCGATGCCTTTTAATTCTGTATAGTTCGTATAGAATATAAAAGATAATATATAGCATCATAGGAAGACATTCATACCATCTGAAAAAAAATATTCTTCTTTTCTCCGCGTAAAGGTTTATTCCTGTATGATTACAGAAGTGCACCATATCTTTCGTATACTTAACAATGACTATCCGTAGTACATGGTATGTTTTTATGGAGACTAAACCGATACAGTTAACTCCTGCGTAAATTCGTCGATTGTAATTGTTGTTGAAATGAAAATTATAAATAGCTTACTATAGTGACCTCTTGAATCGATAGCAACGGTGACAGTGGTGGGCTTTGTATAAAAAGCAGTGACCCACTATTGAAGCTTTCAGCGACGAAAGGGTTAAGCAACCGTTTATTTTCAAGCGGTGCTGCAGCCCGATGGCTTCGCCCCCTCTGGCAGATTGTTGCAAATTAGTTTAAGGAAATTATTGTACGCCTGGTTCTGATTTTCCTGGGAGTATACCTACGGACGGATGGTAAAGAAAAGACAGATAAAATTTCGTACAACGCCGAGTTAGGATGTAAGTCGTATTCAATATCCTTATACTCACTCCGTTGAGCACTATCGTTGGCACGAAAGAGAGGGGCGGGTTCAGAGCGGCCGTTGTCTTGCCGTGTTCGGCAAGCAGGTCGTCGGCCAGAGGACTTCCGATGCAACTCTTGATACTGTCCTGTGTCTTCTGACTCACCAATAATTTTTCAGCGCACTAAAATTAGAGTTACCACTGTCACGAAAGAAAACTAGGAGACAATCGTGTGTTTACGCTGCAAACACCCCGATTTCGGTAAATCTTCTTAAACATTAAGTAAGCAAAGGTGTTCTCTAAAAAAATTAATTTACTGAGAATTTTTATTTAACAAATTTAACTCATTGAATGGTTAATCAGCGACCTCCTTACGTGGTTACTGTTTCTTCACTAAATGAAGAAATCGAGCTTCTTCCAGAGAAGAAAAGCTATTTAAATAATTCTGTATTCCCAGAACAAACGGAGACCGTTCATTATCCGTTTGCAGAATTCCTTGCTAAAGACTGTCTCTTTACCGCCAGATTGCATAAGGAAATAACAAGGTGGAATCAACAATTGACACTAGACAGCGGACTCTGTCCATTTATAATATACAGGGTGAGTCACCTAACTAAAATACTGCTCACACGATGCCAAACACATTTTTGTTTTTATGTAATTTTTTTTTAGAGATATCAAGATCACCTACATTTTTTAAACGAAACCACCCTTTTTTCCATAACGTTGAAATAACTAATAAAAACCCTACCGTCTGAACAGACGATGGTGGGAACCTAGTCGACATTGCGCAAACAACCACCATCTCGGTGAAACGTTGAACTCTGTTGGCTGGTTCGTTGTTTTTGATCGCGTTGATAGCACAGGCCTGGGCCTTGTTGCCATCACACTCATCGGGTCCATGCTGACAGGAGAATTGCCACGAACCGGATTCAGAGTTTCTTGAATGCTGTAAATCATTGATCACTGTCCGATTGGATCGAAAAAACACAAGTACACGAATGATTCTTGCTGTTTGAGTCATATACTTGTGAACCGGTAGCGGCAAAGAACCATGCGACCGCTATGGATTTATCGTATATCGTATAACACCTTAGTATCAGACCTGGGCAAATTTTATTTGACATGAAAATAAGAAATAATTTATTTCGGAACTTTATTTTTTCAATACAGTTATCTAAAAATAAAAATATTATCGATTCATTTGAAATAATAGCAATTTCAGATAATGAATCATTTTGTTATTTTTGTACTTCAAATCTGGCAAGAGAAATGATGCTCAAGCTAATATGCAACAAAAAGATTTTATTTTAAGGAATCTCTAACGATCACTTACCGTCGCTTTTCCATATGGGATCAGATGGAGATTAATGTAATCCCCGATGATGTGGTACGATTCGGCCAATTGCACTCTTAACCAGTACTTGCTATCGGGGCATAATGATTCATAGTAGACGTCTACGTTAATCTTGTTCGATAACTCCTCGCCGGCCACCTGCGCAAATATAGGGGGGGGGGAACGTTTGATTACTTGTACCTGATTTAGGATAACGATGCTCAACCGTTTTTGTAATTACTTATACAATTTGAAAAAAATGTACAGACATCACGATTACTCGAAGGTCATAAGTATCCGTGTATCATTTTCGCAAATAATTATTTACTGTTCAAAGAACACATCGAGATTCCTTGATTGTTTCCTGATTAACACCGTTGAAGTACCATTTTTGTAAATATTTACGTAATAATATTCGCTCAACAAACCAAGACCTTTTGACTACCCGACGGCACACGCATTTAAGTGCCATTTTCGCAAATATTCATATAATATTTAACCAACAAACCAGAGACCTACTGATTTCCCCATGATCACACGTATCAAAGTGGTATTTTTGTAAATTTTTGTACAAGCCAAGGTCCAAGGTAAGAAGACATATTACATGAACACAGAATGCCAAGGCTTTAGTTTTTGAATTATGAAGGACTGAAGAAACGAGTGCCTTAAAACGGTATAGGAATATTAAGTGGCGACCAGAGATATTTCCCCACCATAAATCACCCCAGATACTATTGTGCCGTCTAAAGGTGGGATAATATTAACTGACCACTCGGGGCCTTTCTTCCCACCATCAATCAAGCCCAAAACGACATGGTATTTGTTCTGACGAGGTATTTGTTCAAACGATACAAAGGGTATATACAACCTCGTCCATGCCTATGCATTTATTTACTGACTATACATATAAATTTTGTCTTCTATTTTGAATCAGATAAAGTATTTTACGTTTATATTTATATATACATTTTACAACTGAATTCTACTATTCGCAAGATAACTGGCAAAGTGATTGCCCACAATAATATTGTCAATTATATCTTCTTTATTAATTTGCGTGTCCGTTAATAAAGATAAATAAATTGATTGTTATGTAGGTCATATCTACACGATATGACGAAATTTTTGTTTGTTTCCTGTTTTATAAATTGGACGATAAAGATTTTTATGTTTGCAGAGTCTAGTAATTAGTTTCAAATAATCGCAATTGGTAAAGTTTTTATGAAATCAGTATAATTAGTTTCTATGGATTTTTGTGTTGCATTTATAACAATCTTCAATGACTACTGAAACAAAGAAAAAGAACCGGCGTGTGCATCTCCAATGTATGTAAACAGGTTTAATATGTTACACGCCGCCCACGAAAAAATGCCGGAAAAACCGGATCCCCTTCGTTTTCATGCACAGCTTCTTAGTGCCACGTCAAAACAGAGGTCGCCCAAGACACTACACAAAACTATACAAACAGGAAAAAAAAATACTAAATAATATGATCCGAAATTTTTAGTCATTCATTGTGAAAGGAAGTTAAAATTCAAAATAATGAACAGTAACATTTAATGTGCTCCTTTGAGGCACAGTGCATAAAGAAAGTATTTGCAGAACAGGGTGTATGTGAAAGTAATGGCCGCCCCATTTACGATAGTACATATTTTGATCCCGTTTTATTTTATCAACGTAACATTCACTTTTTATTAAATAGAAAAATAGTGAAAAATTCGACAACATGTTCTAGGCATCTGTTCTAGAAGTCCACGAAATTATTTGTACAAACACCGTGTGTAAAACACTTTCTTTTCATTCACTGCAGTTGCTTCCAACTTAAAGAAATGCAAAACTTGGTAACCGGTATTCGAACGTAATTTTAAACTACCAGCGTCAAACGTATACTAAACTAAATTACATAATACATTGATATGTATAATACATAATACAATATAACATGATATAGTGTAATGTAAAATTTATAATAAATTAAACGTATATTCTGATAGAAACACCTATATGATTTCAATTATTGTGAAACAAGAAATTTGAAATTCGTAACTTTCACGGGTTTAGTTGTTCGAATCTTAAAGATGAAAGTAAAAACCGAAGAGATAAGATATCCTGTTCTCTCGAAGTAAATATGTTGAAAACTTTCTTGCAATAGGTCTCTGGTGTGGAGTGAATTTTTTTTGAAGTACGAGAAATTTTATGAAAATCTACTCACCGAAGTGCCGTGGCCGATGAAGACAACAAAGGCCACGAGAGCGTAGATCGACGTGAACAGGTAGCACCGCATGGTCAGTCTGGTCTGCTAATAAACCGGAGACTGCTTTAAACCGGCTTTAGCTATATATTGTAGCATCGTCGTCCGCGGAGGGGTCTTTGAAAATGTAGAGGGAGTCACATGACCAGAGAGACTGAAGAGAGGGGGGAAAGACGAAGAGGAGGTTAATAAAATTCGAACGTCTCCGGTTGAGAATTCTCCTGCAATATTGTTCCTCCCGGCGAGGCCGTGTCCTTTGATGTCTGAAGCACGAAAATAATATGCGTGGTTCATTAATAGAAGAACATTTGGATGAAATCTTTTCTTTCCAACAGTTCTTTCTCGAAAACGCCGCAAAATATTTAATAAGTTTGACGAGTTACCTAATGGAACCGCCTGTGTCTCGCCTCCAACGTATTCACATTATGTATTCTTCAATTACATTGTCTTGCTGTTTAGTACTGAATCACTTGCTTTCACCTACGGAGTTGTGCCGAAGACCTTATAGTTATTGTAAATTAGATATAGGGTGAAATTGTTTGAAATACAAACCTAGAATTAATATTTGAGATAACGAGTCAATTGAATTGTTTTATTATTCTAGTTTCAAAAATGTAAAATCAGACTCCTATTCGTCGTCTGTTTCAGCTCCAACATAGAAGTGGTTTGAGAGATTATTTCGGGAGCCATTTGTTCAAACAAGATAATCAAAATTCGAAACCAAATCAAATAAGAGAACGTTTTGGACAAAAATCATTTGCGTGTTCAAATGGAAGAATAAATACGAGAAAGAAGGTAACAGATGATTAAGTAATCACTTCGAAAATATTTCATTCAAACAATGATTGATCTTGTTACAAATTAACCGGCTGGATAGTTTTGAAGACTGGTCAGTCCGGTCCATGGTAAAAATCAGGGACTTCTACCGAAATGTAAAATACCGGTATTTATTTCGGTTTTCGATAATATATCGGTTTCGATATAGCTTTGATAGCATAATATTGGTATGAAAATCATACCGGTTTAAGTCCCTGGTAAAAATATCCTTGACTGCGTTCGGTGCCCCGAATGTTGATTAACATAAAGAGTTCTGGTCTCTTACCCCCTAAAAAGATGTGCATTCCTAAAATATATTAAGAATCTTTGACACTTAATCGATCGAACGTAACATATACTCTGGTTACGTTTTAGAAAAGAAAAGGCAAATACAATGTACTCACGATCCAGGAAGGTAGTATTATGCATGAACAGACTAACGAGAGTGAAATGTAATTCACGCATTTCTCTGGCCACAACTCAACGTACAGAATGTTGTATGTGACCGACGGCACTGTTTTAAATAATCTAACGATATAAGCGAAGAACGCGAAAGGTTTCTATGTCACTTTCTCGCCGAGAGTGAATGTGTGTGGTGTCACAAGCCATCTAACGTCAGGCAATCGGTGATGCGCGCGACCGCTTGCAGTGTAATCGAGGGCATCGCTAATCTCATCATTTACTTCCAACCTCCTTGGAGCTAACAATCCCTTGTAATAGCATTGAAATCATTACACGATAAACAATTCATACATAGAGTAACATTTCTGGCGAATATCTGTATATATTTACAGAGGTATAATGTGATTCAAGAACGATACTATAGTCTCACTTTCATTGGAAGAAAACGCAAGTATACGCTGCTCTGATAATTGCTACCGCTCGACTATCATGGTGGCAACAATCATCGGTACTATCTGTAAAAATGATATAATCTGTAATAGATATCAGGAATTTTTAATTCTTTTGCAGATATGGAATTAGAATGTCGATTGTACTAAAATAGTATGTATTTTATTAAACATGGGTTACATAATAAGTAACTAGTATCAGGAGTGTGATACTTGATGTTACTTATTCATATAAGGTTCTGATTAATATTGAGTTTTAAAAGAAAAACGAAATTTAAGAGCAATTTGTTAACATTGACTGAATTCCTTATCCTTTTTTCCGTAATATATAATTGTAAATGCGTGTACAAAATTGTACATTTCAAGTTGCCCGCAAAATGAAGATAAGAACATTTAAAAAAAATTACAACAGCATTTATTTACTACACACAGATAATTCTAACAATAAATTAGACTTATGGACTAATGCCATCATGAAATTTCAATTGTTTCTTGGTATGTTTCATATCATTCAGCAGCTGAGTAGCTCGGTTTTTAAAAGCATCAGCTATTTCTGGATTTTTCTGTACACCATCGCCAAGTCTGTACATCAAAGCAACATTTGCACAAGCATAGGGATTTCCAAACTCACAGCACTTCAAAGAGCATTTGTAAGCTTCCTTCATATTTTTCTCCACATGTCCCTCAATGCCACTCAAATAAACGCCCGCCAAATGAAAACAGGCCTTTTCGTTATTAGAGTCACAAGCTTTCTGAAGCATTTTCATTCCACTTGCAACTTGAGCAGCTCTGTCTTTTTCTAATTCTTCATTGCTTACTGCAAAAACACCCGCATGATGACAACCCTTATCATCATTAAGGTCACAACCCTTCTTCACATACTTGAATGATTCCTGTATGTTCTTTTCACAACCTCTACCTGCATATGCATTATATTGTAAGTATATATTTAATTTGAGAAAACTAACAGAACATTTGGTACAGGCTGATTGGAATTAACAATCTGTACAAGGCAAATAGAAAGGAGTAAGAAATGGAAAATATAATGGAAGATACGGCGATGAGTGAGTTCATGTCACCAACATGTACACCAGTAGATTACAACTAAAAGAAGCTCAGCAAGAATAGCAAGATTTAGATACGGGAATGAAAAAAGAAAACCAGATACTGGATATCAGAGGAAACAAACAAGTGTACGATGGGATATTGTTTTTTAATGGAATGCTATTTTTCCATTCAATCATAACATTCGAAATTTTGACGACGAACAACGACAACATTTGAATTTCGAGCAGTTGGACACACTTATATTATCTCAACAAATATTTAATGCATTATCACAACTTTTAATCTCATACACCTGTGCACAGGTGATATTGAATTATGAACATAATATGTAACATTGGTATAAATAAAAGAGAAATAATTGAAGTTGATTGAAAATGGTTATTTTCAGTCTTCGTATTTTCGCATAAACAAATTGAATCCATGACTATTGTCGCATAAAATTATATCTTTAGCGTTACTTTAAATTTCGCGGTAGAACATAACGACATCTCGCGGCGTGATAATTGAAACACCAAACAACCAAAACCTACTTACCCAATAAGCGAAAATCCCCATACTTTGTGCAACTTTTACCATAATTCATTTCATCGCAAGTTTTCTTATATATATTTGCCGCCACCGTGAAATCACTTTTAATACTTTCCTCATAATCGCCCAGCAGATGGCAAACTATCAAAAGAAATTTGAGTGGTTTAATTTGAGAGGTTAGGATCGTTAGCGGTAACACTCCTGAGGTGCCTCACCTTCAGGATTTTTCTCGCTGTAACAACCAAATTTATACTCTATGTAAAGGTTTTTCAGGTACTCCTTCACCTCGTCAGGGTCTTTCAAGTTATATGCCGCCATGACAAACAGGTATTTTTACTTATACGAGAATAAACATGAAAGGAACGAAACGAACTCGACAACACGAAGCACATGCTATCGATTCCAGCGAGACCAATCGACCACGAGGCGATTGTGCGCGCGCAAGACCGTGATTTTTCGAATGAGCGCAAGTCGACGAAGGTGTCAGTAATTCACAACATTGGAACTTGCGTGTCAGTTCAGGTGTGCTCGTCATTCGGTGCACTGCCAGTTTCTAATTATTCCATCGAGACAGATGAGAACGTACACCCTTGTGATTATAGAACAACTCATATGTCGAAAAAGAAACTACGTGCTTTGTTGAAGTAAGTAATAAAATCACTAGATCGCACGCGCGTCTTGTATGAAGTTGTTCCGTAATTTGTTAAGAAACCGTTTCATGTTTGCACTTTTTCAATGTTTATTTGAATTACATAATTCTATAATCAACACTAGCATTAATTACATATTTAATCCTTTTATTCCGAAATTTTTTAGGAGCTACAAATAAATATTGAAAACTATAAACTTTTGTAAACACAAAGTTATATACAATGATATAGCTTTTGTGGGATTTTGTTAAAAAATTATTTCGGATATTTATTATATAATATTAACCAATATTTAAGAACTACAAAAAGAACCGAAACAGAATTTCTGCATAGCTTGTAACTTCCTTTTCTATTTGTAAATAATTGATAATGTTTAACCTTATCATAGCAAACATTATAGATAAGCCTTATCAAAGCTCGATGCTTTCTATTCCCTTCTGTTAGCTTTTTAAGTTTATGCATCTGTGTTTATTCATCTTAGCGTGAAAATGAATATTCAATACAGATTTATGTAATGATATTTCCCAATGTTGCATGTTATTTCCACTCCGATTACGTGTAATAATTTGCATATGAAATATAGACTTGATTAATATTTAACACTCGTAGAATCAGATTCATAAATTAATTATTTATTTTATTTAGACATTGCAATGAAAGACCCAAAAACTATGAAAAATGCATTGCTGCAATATTTTACCATCATTTTAATTGCTTTAGTAACTCTACTGTTAATAAAGTATTAATTTTATCTAGAACCTTATCATCGCCAAACAGAAGGAAATGGAAGACTTTTGGTAGAGAGTTCTTAAATAAATATTAGACCTATTGTTAGTATAAGACTAAAGAAACTAATATATATTCTGAGATATGCAAATTTGAACGATAGTGATATTTTATTTCATAATTCTAAATATGTAACGATATGTCTACATTGGGAACGGAGGTGTTATAGATGACCTTTCACGTACGATTACCACACCGCTCAAACGTTCCTTCTGTTACAATAGTGCTGTTTCTTCAAATACAATTAACATTAATTTGTATTTCTTCACAAAATACTTTTACCAAAATTTATACACGTCACGATCTATTACTTCTTGAATCATAAACGAAAATCATTTCGATTTACCGTGTAAAAGTTACATAACAAAAACATAGAATTAAGTTACATTGATTTTTATCGAAATTTACGTAATAACGAATTTTTGGGCGGGAAACAATCAGTATACAAATGTATTATGTAAATGCAAAAGTCTTGATTCGATTATGTTCAAGATCGAAGAAAATGAATTATAATAACATGTAATTTACTCAGTCGGTTATACGATGTAATGTCAACATCCTTCCATTATTATTATTTTTCATTTCTATTTCATTTCATTAGAAAAGAGGCCAAGGTTACGTGTAGTAGATGCATCGAGACTATACATACTAACGACCCAATAAAGAATTAATACAATAACATGTCATGATGTATTTTCAAAAAGAAACGCAAATTCGATTTTTGGTCTGAAGCATGGTTGCATTAAGCATATTAAAAGGGAACACTTATAGAACAGTTTTGCAAGGCTTTTGTAGAACTTTGATTGCTACGATTCAACCGACTGCTATAGTCACTGAACAGCCAACACAAGTGTATATGTATATGTATACCACCTTCTGCTATGCCAACCTTCAGGGTTTACTCGGTTAGGGGGTCGCCTTCTTATCTACCCTCCGTGATCAGAATTCATCTACATATCAAGTGAAAAGGCGATGTAAACTATGCGGATTGGACGTAACACGCGTTCAACTTAATCTCAAGAACTTCATTCTTGGTGCACCAATACATACACGGCTACAAGTCGTCGTGTTCCCGCCTATCGCGTGAAGTAATTTGTCACGGGCATATTAACGACATCTATATGATTAGTGGACTTCCATTAACCCTCTGCACTTGGCCTATTCTTGATCAGCCTTCACTTCCTGATGGGACAGGAAGTACTCTTCTGCTATAAGCAATTTCTCTTAATTTCCTTTAATGTATAATTAATGAATTGATATCATTTGGACTGTTGTATTAACTTTATTAAAATTGATTTAGTTAGAACAATTTTCATATCCTGTATTTGTCTTCTAATTTTGCAATAAAAAGGGAGGTTATTATATTAATGTAGATGTAAAATGTCATATTTTTAATAGTATTCCCTGAAGGGAACAGGATATGAAAATTGATTGTGATCCCTCCTGTACAATTCCACGGGATCTGACACGCAGTTCCACGTGTGCACGTGATCGTGCACGCCAATAATTCGGGGTGATTCAACGCGTAACTGGGTTCAAGGGCAAGCCACACAGATTCCGGTGCCACACCAATGGAATACTTAACGGGCAGAAAAAGAAGGCGCTCTCTCGAATAATATGGTAGGTACTTAACAGCAAGGGCGTCGAAAATTGGACGAATTAGTCACCAGAAATGAAAAGGTCAACCTTATAAATACGTATATATTATTTTCGCTAAAAAGACAGGCATTTAAAAAAAAGGGTTCAAAAATGCACTGCAGGAGGAAATGATCTCATCCGAAGACTCATCTGTCTGTATTCCCATTAAAACCGTCTTCCAAGGGTTAATTCCCTTTTAGTACCTTAGAGCCGATATACAGAGTATGGCATTTAAGTTGACACATGGAAATATTATAAAAACAAAGCATTCCATAAGAAAGTATTATTAGACAAAAGTTGTTTGTCTTTTGAGGGGGAAAGAGAATGACATTATTTATTCTTAATCCAATGAACGTTTTGTAGGTCATTTGAAGGTCAACTTCGTTTTTTGCTTTCAGATGAGCGAGTCCGTGAAAGTGGCGGTGAGATGCCGGCCAATGAACACGCGGGAGTTGCAGCAGGGATGCAGGGTACGTCAGCCAAGGGGGTATAGCTGCTTCAAAGATATAGCGTTAGCCATAAAGATGGCCAACCCTTAAACTATTAGTACTCGATCATCGGGGGCCTATTGTGTCCCACCGCACTCAGTGTCGTAGGCACTTTCAGCTATGGGGTACCAAAGAATAAAACAAAAAAGACTGGAATATTTGAATGAAATTTACGTTTTTGTAAACTTTCATAAAGAATAAAAGGGCCAGAAGTATTTTAAATCTGAAATTAGTACGTTATAAGAATTTCTTTAATTACATTAACACGGAAAAACCGATTCGAAATTGGCTATCGAATTAGACTACTGAAACAAATAAACGTCAGTGTCGGTAAGGTTTATGGCTAACGCTATATCTTTCAAGCAGCTACACGATCACGGGCGGGATGCATCCACTTATGCTTACTTACAATTGGGTATCGCGCGTGCACCTCGGCTGGGACGAGTGCACCACGAATAGACTTCTCCCGCCTTTTTCTCGTTTTGCTTGTCGGACCGAGTACGGAGGGGAAAACTGGTCATCGTCATATCGAGCGCGCAGTAGCCTAGCTACCGTATCAAAACACACGCGCAAACAAACGTCACTAAACGCGTCGTGTCTGCGATTTTCGCAAGGGAAGGGACGACTCTTGCGGAGCAACCCCTTTCCGCCTAATCGTACCGTCCCGTGTGAGTCCAGTGATTAATTAACCTGTTGACCTTAGAAATGTTCCTTTACAACTGCGTCTACACTATAACACGTTATTGGGATCTGACATGGGGGTAGAACATATAGGTACCTCATTAATATATACAATCCCTTAAACCTCCTGACCGTCACTGTAAGATTCTACAGGTATTTTTTCGATCGATCGACTTTCGAAGGGGTCCTAACTGATTAAGAGATCAAAATAAGGGAGTCATTCGATTTGTTGTAACGAGAATCGAATTGTTATGGACTTTCGTTATGTATAAGCAGTAACTTTGCATGCAAATGCATATTTTTATGAAATGATATTCCCATCTAACGTGGTCAAAACGAATGGGTCACGATGTTTCCAGTACTACAATATCGTAACGAGCCTGTGCCACTGGGTTAAAAACAGAGACAGTAAAACCCAACATCGGGCGTCCCTGTTTTATGCTCCGAGTGCATCAGCACGCTTCCATCGGACGTCCATCAACGATGCCCCCGGTTATCACGAAAGCTCGGCCCTTCGGTCGTTAAATTTACCATTTCATGATATATTCAACGAGCCGCGAACGGGCACGCTAGCCGGCGGAGGATCGGCGATCGACGAACCACGGTTGTATACACGGTGTAACAAAAATGTTGGAGGTCCCTGAAATGTGACACTCGTGTGGCGATTTGGAACAAGTTTTTCATTAGCAAAAATGTTATCCGAGACTTCGTTCACGACATTATTAACGAAAACCCCTGACCAATCAGAGCGCGATTCTGTCAGCCGAGTTCCCGCGGTAACATTGGCTACCAATTACAACGCGTAGCCAACGTTACCGCGGGAACTCGGTCGGAAAATTATGGAAAAATTATGGAAAAATTTTATATATAACACGGTATTCTTGGAATACGGTTTTGATATAACACAGTAGAAATTATCGAGAAATCTCTCATAATACGGTATTCTTGGAACACGGTTTCGATATATCGCAGTAGAAAATTTTTAGTACATAACCACCTACAATAACACGGTATTCCTAGAATACGCTTTCACAACGACAAACGATAGACACAAAACCAGAGAAATGAGTGAAAATTCACTTTTCGTGCTAAGGAATTTTCAAGTCGAAAATGAACTGAAAATATTAGGGGTGGTTTGGAGATCCTAATTTTTAAATTCTCGAAACTCGAAATTCGAAACTTTCTTGGATTTCTAGGGATTTCGACGTTACGAGGAACCAATCTCGAGAAAATATTGTTCAAAAGTCTACCAAACATTCTCAGGTACGACAATAGACCTAGCTGCAAATCTTACAAGTGAATGAGAACACTCTGTGTAAAACGTTGCAAATTGATTCGTGCCGCTCGGTCCACACGATAGCCGGTTACGAACGACAAGAATTATTCACGGGGTGTGCAGACTCACGTGCTTATCGATGGAAATGGAATGTATGCCGAATCGATAGGGACAGTCGTGTCACCTCTGCTACGTTTATGCATGACGACACACGTGGGTGGCAGAAGTAGCAGGAACAACACACGTGCATGTCTGTACTGACTGAGCCACGCGTGTGTGTGTGTGTGTGTGTGTGTGTGTGTGTGTGTGTGTGTGTGGGTCATAACAGTTAAAGTTACGTTGTCGAAGAAATTTCGTTGTTGGTGAACAAGTATTCCTTGACAGCGTAGTAAAGATCAGACCTGGGCAAAATTTATTTGAAATAAAAATGAACAAAATTTATGTGAAATAAAATAATATGTTATTTGAAATAATATTTCAATAATATCAGGGGTAACATCTAACTTTGAGTGAAACAACATTCGAAACAATTGTTTCAGACAGAAGATCCACAGAGATATATGTATCTGATACCGCAGATTGTGTTTTTGATGAAGTGGGTTATAATTAAATGGCAGATATTTTCTTCTGTTGATAGATATATAGGTGAACTTTTCAGAAACTACTAAGGAAATAACGTATAATAAGATGTATATGTTGAATTCTTAATAAACAATAATTCTACATATAGAACAACATTTTTTAATTGTCCCTCTTATTTAACACCTTAAAGGTATGTAACCCTTTGAGTAAAAGTTTGCTCAACATTTGGAATCATAGCGAGCTCACTAATTTGCAATGTTTGAATCAATTTCTACGCGGAAAAACTAACGTGTAACAGTATTTCCAACCAGTACTTTTGCTACTTCCGCGAAACCGGATCGTTATCGGGCTATCGATGAACCGATGTCGTGGCGAGTAAATGGACACACACGTGTTCCCGTTAATGCGTTCGACGTTATTGCAATGTTGCACAACACTGCCGGACCACCATCGATCGCGGCCAGTTCCGGAAACACAATAATTAATTGATCTCATTAAGGAGATAATGTTGTTGTGCTAATTATAAAAAGACAGTTTATGTTATGTTGAGTACCTATTGATTAAGAATAATGTTGCGGCAATTAAAAAGAAAACTATAATGTTATGTTGATTCTCTGTAATTATTAGCTGGTATTAATTATTTTTTATCTTTCATTGCGCACAATTTTGCTTAATCTATATCTGGTACAACATTATCCCCAAGATGGGGCAAAAAGTAGCAATCCGGCTCGGAATTTGTAAAAGATGGAACTTGATTTGCATGAGGGTGATTTTGATTTGCAAAAAGTTGAATTTCGGAGTGCGAAGACAGTAGGAACGATTTCCCCGCAAGGTCCACGAAATTCTAACTCGTCTGAAATGTTCGCAGAACGTGGTGACGATCGACCCGGGCACGAAATGCTGCACCTTGGACTCGCCGAGCGCCGGGGGCGGCAAGGTGTATCAGTTCGACGCGTCGTTCGGTCCGGATGCCACCACCGAGCAGGTGTACGAGAACATGGGCTCGGTGATCGTGGAGGCTGTACTGGACGGTTACAACGGCACGGTGTTCGCCTACGGTCAGACCGGTTGCGGAAAATCGCACACGATGCGCGGTTTTATCGAGCGTACCCTGGACCACATCTTCGAGGCGACGTCGACCGCCAGCTCGGCAATGAGGTACCTGGCTCTGCTCAGCTACCTGGAGATATACAACGAACGATTACGAGATCTGTTGCAAGACGGGACCAGCGATCTCCTGACGCTGAAGGAGGATCCGACACGCGGGACCTACGTGGCCGGCGGGCTGAGAGAAGTCACCGTGAAGGACGCCCAAGAGTGCGCGATTTTGGTCGAGCAAGGTGACAGAAGAAGAGCCCTGGCGGCTACCAAGATGAACGCAGCAAGTTCCAGAAGCCACGCTGTGCTCACCCTGTCGCTGGAGACGCTGGCCATCAACGACGACAGCCAAACGGAGAACACGGTGAAGAGGGGCAGGCTCCACTTGGTGGATCTGGCTGGGTCCGAGAGGCAGGCTAGGACCGGGGCCACCGGGGACAGGCTGAAGGAGGCGGCTAGTATCAATCTGAGCCTGTCCGCGCTCGGGAACGTGATCAGCGCGCTGGCTGCTGGTCATGGACGACATGTGCCCTATAGGTACTTTCTGTATTATATATTCTATATTATATATTCCCTATAGGACTTAAATATTAATGAGACCAAAGTACCTTCACTTGGACTTGTTGTAAAATGAATGATATTCAGAAGCTAATCTACACGATTGGAGTAACAGTGCACAGGATTAAATGCTTCCTTTGAAATACATTCTCAGAGACAGCAAGCTGACGAGGCTCCTGAGGGACAGTCTCGGGGGCAACGCAAGGACGCTGATGATCGCCTGCATAAGCCCCAGCGACGCGGATGCGGAGGAGACGCTGAGCACGCTGCGGTATGCGGCCAGAGCTCGATGCATTAAGAACAAGCCTGTTATCAACGAGGATCCCAAGGATGCTCTGTTGAGGCAGTACCAGCTGGAGCTGCAGCGGCTTCGCAAGCTGCTGGAGTCGGGCGACCAATCGGTGCTGAAGGAGATCTTGGCCAACGATGGTAACCAGTACGAAGACGAAAGTAGACAGATGGAATACCTGGAAGAAGTCGAGAGATTGAAGAGGGAGTGCGAGCACTCGAACTTGTCGGCCCAGAAACTGAGGGAGGAACTGGAGGCGTTGAAGTCTCGTTACGAGGGTGACGGGATGAGCAATATGATCTCGAAATCTGTCCCCCGACCGCCGATGGACGAACAGGATCTGGAGCGCGAGGAAAGGCGGAAAAAGAAGAGGGAGGCAGCCATGCAGGATGTGCTCAAGAGGTTGGAGAAGCTGACCATCGGAGGGGAGGAACAGGGGAACACGGAGCTGAGAAGACGACGGGAGAAGAGGAGGAAGAAGCTGGAAACTCTCGCTTCGGCTTTGGAGTCAAGCGCCCAGGAGGGCAATGGGAGTGTCTTCCAAGTCTACGGTCAGCTAAGGTCAGATGATGAACCATTTGAAATTCTCTAACAGAATACGATTATTATAGTCTACACATATAGGGGAAGGTTGCCGAATTTGGATCATCGCCTAGGTAGCTTGTCACGTATAAGCAATTTGCGCCGTATGATAAACGACATATGTATATAGGGTGTGTCAAAAATGTTGCAGGCCCGTGAAATGGGTCACTCGTGTGGCGACATTTTTGAGACATCCTGTATAAGGAAAACGATCAAATTTCTACAGTAGACGATCAAATCCAATCTTTCCTTTTCTCTCGAAGGAATAATCAATACGAGTATTAGCCAGGCCATCAGTAACATCTAAATTTTACTGTTCTCGGGGAAACAGGTCAACGGAGGATGCCCTGAAGCGTATGGCTAAGCGTGTGAAGCAATTAGAAGCAGAGGCAGCCGATCTCCAAGCTTCCTGGGACGAAGAACGTCGCGATCTTCTTCGTAGGGAGCTGCTGACGTCCCAGATATGCGACGCGATGCTTCCACACCTTCGTCCAGGTTGCCCGTTTCGCGACGTGATCGCCGTTCGAGCATCAGCGACCTGGTGCGACGAACTGGGCCGCTGGAGGCTACCCGCCGACGTCTCACCGCACATAGCCCTTCCGCCAGCGTCGCTGGCTATCCCCACGAAATTTGTGCCCAGCATCAGAACATCTTCCAAACCAGACCTGAACAACAACAGCAACGGTAAGGACACCGAGGACGAAGTTGGCAACGAGGCCGACAACGAAGAGAGCAGCGAACAGGAGGAAACCAAAAGGCTGGACATCGCTGACACATATTTCCGTCGAAATAGAATCGATAAATTACTGGCGCACGTCAGAGAAGCGAAAACGTTTGGTGAGTACAGGGGGGTACGTGCCAACTGGACAATGAAAAACTTTAAACGAAATATCCCGAAAACCGAGGCCCATTCTGAAGAGATCTATGAGGGCTTTGTAATACTACATGTTCTATAACTTCCACATAGTGCCGTTCCAAAAGCGATTTTTTAAGAATATTATCATAAAGTCTGTTCCAAATTGGCTCACTAGTCTGAAAACTGCATTTTCGAGTAAAACGCTTTAAAATGGCAGCGATTTTCTCCAGTTGATAGATAGATATTTCAATCTCCAGAAATTAGTAACGAAGTAACATATAATAAGATGTATATGTTGAATTTACAATAACACTAAACGAATTATTATTGTACACCGTAACGGTGCACCAAAATTAAACAAATCGAATTCCAGATTCTAGCAACCGTATTAGCCGGTCCGGTGGTTCCGAGGATGCCTTTCCAATCGGTGGCAACCACCTCCAGCTGAACGCGTTGAATCTTCAAAGTAGCGCGCCAGTGATTGGCGAGGTGGACAGCTACAAACCCAGCCAGCATTTACAAACGGGTCGGTTCGGGCGACCCGGTTGGATGCTGGAAGGGAACCCGGTGAACAAGGCTTTCTTTCCAAAGAGACATCCCCCGAGGATACTGGAGGCGTTACCGTCCTATCCCCAAGGGACGAACGGAGGGCTTAGGTTCGGGGGCAAGTCTATATCCGAGGAGATGTCCGAGAAATTATCGACCAGGTTGATTCACGATGACACCGTGGAACATCAATCTACCTTGATCGGCCATGCCCGGTCTCCTACGTACTGAACGGGACACGTGGAAGATGAAAAACTGAGAAGTGGAATTTTTTTAAGACGTCCCGGATGAGGATGCTTGAGAAGGTACTGTTTAGCATATTCTTCGAGACATATTGCAGTCACTTTTGGAATCGAGATAGTGAGAGTTCTTTTCTAGACAGACCTGGGCAGATTTTATTTAAAATGAGAATAAGAAATAATTATTTGAATATTATTTATTAAGAAAAGAAAATATGAAATTAATGAATAATTAAATTGCAGAGATTATGCATTTAGAACTGAGTATACTGAACTGCTTCGTACAGTCCAACGAGATTTTTATTTTATTCGTAACGTAATGGAAACTCTCAAATAGAATAAATCAATTCCCGTCTGATTTCAGTTTTCGCAAATTACCACGATAAAAGTCTATATTTGTTTGTACACGCAATGAAGTCGAAAACTTCGTTACGTAAAATCGGAACGTTCAAATCGCTATCCAGGATATGTCCATTTTAAAAAAACTCGCTAAAAATGTAACGCCGTAATTAACGTTTTCTGTCAAACTTCCCGCTGAGATGAAAAAAAATCCAAGAAATTAATTTCTCTCGTGATTCTTTCAGAAAACATGGTCTGAAGAATGTGTCAGCACCCAGGGCGAACAGAAATCGATCATGATCGTGTATTCGAGAACGGAGGATGCTATGTGCAACGATCGGGGAACGTTTCTCAAAAATGACCGTAACTTCGGGGGCCTGTATTTCTTAAACAAATTCAGGAACAGAAAGATGATCACTTAAACCACCCCTAATTTCACGTGAACTACGACATATTTCATTTTCAATAAAATCCCTGACGACGAGTAAATCCTCCATGAATATTCGGAGCTTCCTCGGCATTGAACATTAAATATTTCATACACTAATGGCCGTATGCGGCTGAAACAAATATCATTGACTTCAGAATTCCAAGTTCTATGACTATGCTAAACCTCATTAAAAAGTCACTGTTATACCCGAGTGGTTCTCCTTGTCAGTGCCGAGAAGTCTTCCAACACTCATCGAGAATTTACTGTACGCGTTTCTAATCGCAGAAATTTCACTTGGACGAGCGAAATCACGTACGAAGCGTGTGAAATGCTCCTTGTAAAAGTGTCCAAATCGGCCGAAATGGCCGATGCAGTCGGCACGGAAAAGAGAAACCGTGTGGCGGCTGAGTGAGTCACGCGACGCAGAACCGTGTATATTACACGGACATTTTCGATACATTAGATCGCCGATTAATGGTCCCGCAATAAAGATATTCTTGCGAAACTGTTCTCAAAGAGTTAAGGTAGCTCACGCGTTTTGTGTCGGATCTACATGGGGCTCCACATGGCGCTTTATACTTTTTATCAATTTTACCAATTTAATTTGAATGATTAATATTTCAACACTACTTCAAAATACTGAAATGAAAATAAAATTTACAAACAAATTAAATGAAATTTTTATAACGTTTCTTTTTCAATAATTTTATCGTCGATCTAGTGATTTTGTGGTAGCAATCGAAAGTTCAAGCTTTTAAGAATGTTCTGTTAAATTTTCAACTAAATTAATTATTAAACATTTTCGTGAGCAACCTTAAGCTGCGGGTTTCACTCTCAACGCACGCACCTCATTAATAGAAGAAAAAAAACGCCAGAGAAAGGACCAGAGTCGTGAAACCACATTGGCCTATGTGTGTAGACCCGTAAAACTTGTACATAGTCCTTGTATACATATACATATATATATATGCCTCGTACACAGTCGACACTACCGTTCAAAAGTTTTCGGGTGAAGATTTTGTATCAGTGTGCCATTACAAAATTGTACGTTTTAGAAGTGAAGTATTTTGTTCCTTGTAATATTGCTGTGGTGAAATGGCAGAATGTGATGTGCCTGATTTTCGTCAAAATTGTGATATGTGCTCTTCCATGTGTGTCTAGATTAGGAAAGAACATAAACGAGTTGAATGAACTCGAATGAACATGCAGTAATAAAAGAAATTGTATTTTTAAAAACATTGTAATTGTTCCCAGACGAACAAACCTTAAAATTGCTGCACTGTAAAATCAGATCTACAGATTTTAGACTATAAATTTTTCAAACTGTAGAATTCTGACTACAGATGTTTGAATACAGATTTCTGATTGATATTACAAATGCACAAAGTCTACTCATTATTTTGATTATTACTCCGTCACCAACTATATTTATTATTAGATTATAAGTGGAAGTGTCCGAAAATTGAACGACCTTTCGTGTAATTTCACAGCGCCGGTCACCGGTGACCACCAGTCAATCAACCCGTTAAATAATTCATTAGTAGAGTTATTCTTTTGCTTTTCATTGCCTCGTTCATTATTCCATCAGGCGCTGTGTCTACAATTATTGGGTCATTGATAGTGTCTTGATACATCTGTAACATGTATCTTTGATATTGTTCGCAATGACATCAGATATGAATGTTAAATAATAATAATTGAAATTAACACACAATAGAAGAATGTCGAAAGTACTGGAGGTACTACAACTGCTCGAATAAATTATATTTTATAATAATTCTTTCTCTTCGATTTTCCATTCTTTCTGGACGATCACAAGCAGCAGATGAATACGATTTATGGGTGATAATTGCTGTAAACAATTATATATCAGATGTCACAATAAAACGTAATAAGAATAAACCTGATAAATGTTAACAGTTCAACCCGTTTCGAACAAATTCTCGCAACAACTGCAACATTCTTGGAAGTAAAATGTTTAAGCAATCCTTTCTCAAATGATCAATTTTATAGTAAAACTCCAAACTTTTGGACGGTAGCGAATACGTTTATAATTTATTATAACTGCAGCCGCCATCTTTTCACGATTGCAATATTCAATGTGTATTCGAATTAAATATATTCGCCTGATCTGACACACTGTAACCATTTTTCTTGGTAGAGAAAAGATTAAGATAAGAAGAAATTCGAAGTGACTTTCGATATTCTTAGATGTTCGATCGTAGGTCTGGCCGACATCTTGAAAAAGAAATCTCGTGCAATTATTGTAATCGGTGTGTTTACTAAAAGGAAGAAATTGTTGAAAGAGGCGTGTCAATCAGGCTCATGTTCTACAAAAGTATATTAATTATTTACATAACGATTTTGTTCGGAAGAAATTGAAGGTGATCCAGACGGTTATGTAACCGCATAAAGAAAAAGGTCTCCTCTTCGAGACTAAACAACTTTCTTGCCACCTCGATACAAGAAATTATTCGGTATTTCTGGCACATTCAGCTTATTTCGAATAGCGGCTGTTTGAACTTAAACTTCTGGTTTCCTTTGGTCTTTGAAATATTTCTGGTACTTAACTCAGACCAATCCGAAAAGATGGCTGCTGTACGTTCAATCGCGATATTACATACGATAAAGAGAGTCGTATGTACGACCCACCGTTTCAGACAAGTTATTTCCCCTTTTTCCTGTAAAAACCGTGACAGTGAATAATTAAGGAAGACAACGACCGTGTACCACAACTTTCCGTTCGAAGGAGGAAGTCGTGGACACGCCATCACGTTTCGTAATACCGCTGTGTAATGTTGCAACGCTGGAATACATAGATAACAACACTGAGAATGTGGAATGGCAGATGGTCAAATAAATTCATCCTAATGCTCACTGTCGTCTTCGGAAGATCCGAATTGGAAAACATGGACTGAAAGACTCTTCCCAAAAACACTTATCGAAGATTTACTGTATACCGAGGAAAATCAAACTTTATTGTGATGTGGTTATATTGCCTACCTAAATTAAAGAACAATAGTGAATCACCTGTTGGTACATCTAATACTTTCTTGAATATGTGCACCGTATTTTTTTATCTCCGACGACAAGTGAAAACGGTAACAGAGGGAATAACCAGGCGCGCCTTGTCGCCTTTGACTTTTGTACCGTTCGTTTTTAAGACACTTTAAAGGACAAAGTTCCTTGGCACGATACGGCGGCGATAAAGATCTCAATTCGAATTTATGTATTTTCTGGTAGGGAAAAGCCACGGATAGCAACCATCAGACGAAATACGAGCAACAACAAGGTCAACGCTTTGCTCTGATTCGCTCTGCTCTTCTCACTCGTTAGCCGGATATCAGAGAAACTCGTCTTTCACACTGCTAGCCAACGTTGGTCGAGTTTTTTAATTAACGCTCTGTAACGCGGCGTAACTTTGAAGTCACATACCAGTTTTACCATTATTAAGCAAAGGAGAATGTTCCTTCTCCACGGTTGTGTTCCAAATTATTATGAACAGATGGAGAAATGACATATTTTCGGTGTTATTATGATATATAGTTTTTGAGAAATTGTAATCGTTGTGATATGTCAATAAAAACATAACAATATGCTTTGTAATAAAGAAGATACTGTTTTAAGTGTATTTAATAAGTAATCAATATAACAAAATCTCGAGCTGAAAGCGTAGTCAGCATGAAGCAATTGCATGTCAGATATGGTAGCTTTTTTCAGCACGTTATCACTTACGGCGACTCACATTAATTGATACAAGGTATTTCTTGTTTATTCGACCAAGTGTTTATTAACAGCGACAGAAGAAGTGTCGTATGAAATATTATAGTTGCATTTCAGATAAGTCGCGAAAAGTTTTACGCAGCATCTCCTTATCTCGTGGTCGCCGTAACTATACAACGTATCAGAAGCCTTTCAACGCATAATAATAATCGTTCACGATGAATATTTCCATGGAAATTGTTTTATCGAGATCGTGCGAATCACAGTGGAACGCTGATTATCGGAATGTCGATTATCGGTAACGTCGATCGTCCCAGATACCAATGTTTTCTGAGACGTGAAAATAATTCACGATATAAAATTTTTGTAGACAAAGATAACATTGTTTGATATGATCCTTGCCGAAGAAAATAATAACTAAAAGCTGGAAAAATGGATTAGATCTGTTTATGTTGTGCAACATCCATCCTTCAAAATTACTTTATCTGTAATTGCTTTGT